CGTTGCCACCTCAAATTCAACACCTCACTGCTCTAAAGGAGTTGTTTATTAGTAAGTTTGATGAAGTGGAAACATTGCCAGAGTGGTTGGGAAACCTATCCTCCCTCAAAGAATTGCATGTTGATTCTTGTTCTGGATTAAGACGTTTATCGAGAGGGGTGTCTTTCTACACCGGTCTCGACAGACTTGCTATACGGGATTGTCCCAATCTGGTCTCTATTGCAGAGGGAGTTATTGGCTGTCTTACTCAGTTGAAGAGGTTGTCCATTGGTGGTTTCTCAAAAAAGTTGAAGGAATTCCCGGGTCTGAATTCCATCAACACTTCCCTTGAACAGTTGGAATTGTATGGTTGGGAAAGGCTAAGTCAGTTGCCTGATCAAATTCAACACCTCACTGCTCTACGGTACTTGTGGGTATCCGGATTTGATGGCGTGGAAGTCTTACCAGATTGGTTGAGAAACTTATCCTCCCTTGAATGTCTATGGGTTCGAAAGTGCAAGAATCTGAAACAACTGCCTTCTGCGGAAGCCATTCGACGACTCTCCAAATTTCATCTTCTTGACATTCGTGACTGCCCCTTGTTAGAGGAAAGATGCGCCAAGGAAAGCGGTCCTGAGTGGTCCAAAATTTCTCACATTCCAAACATCTCCATAAATGACAATCCCATCTAATCCCAAGATTGAGGTTTGCGAGAGGCAACAGGTATGTCTGATTTCTGAAATCCCAACTCCTCATTTTCTCACAACTGCATTTCTTAATAATTTATAAATTCCCAACACTAGTTTTCTCCTCGTTGGCTCATTCTATCAATTAAGTCTTTGTCTTTCTGTCAATTTAGGGAGCAATACAATAAAATATATCAACTCAAATGTTGAATGAGGCTCCTCAATTTCTTTTCCCAACGTTCAACTTGAAGACTTCTTAATTTTCTATCTTCTCCATTTTAAATTGCTATTTTACTCCAAAATGGGTTATTATATAGTTTTTCTTCAGCAGTTTTGTTTATGTGAATGAAGATATTAGCTGTATTAAAGACCTTTGGTCTTATGTATAAAATGTGACTGCAACACTAAACTGTTGCATTCTTCATTTGAAGCTTATATTGAAGTCAACAGACTCCAAAACTTCCTGCAACTTGGAGCACATATGTTAAGTTAATTTTGTGAATCAAAGATTTCTTTGTCAATTGTATAATTATTATTTCTTTTACACTTGGAACTAAGATCCATATTAGTTATATCCCTTCTCATTGCACAACATATATACACAAATGGAATTCATTTTTTGTTGCAGGCATGGAATTACTTTTCCCTTGAAAAAACAAATACACTATTTGCCTTAAAACACCAAACAGACCCTCATCCAAGAAGCAAGCAATAGCGCAGGAATGGAATAAAAGTAGCTTCAGCAAGCCGAAGATGATTCTGGTATGCTTTTTAGATATTTTATCATGTGTCCTAATTATTATTTGAGAACTGAGTGAGGCCTTAGTCTTACAGTAAACTTGCTTCTTGAAAAATTTTGGATCATACAGGATGTTCTTGGAGGTGCTCAATTTTAATCAATTAGAAACATACCTTGTATCTCTCGTGTTACTTTAAAGGAAGACTGTTGCAGGTAAAAACCGAACCAAAGTTCATACCAGTTGTACTTCATTTAAAAGGCATATGCATTTTCAATTCCTTGACATCAACTACGTAATTTTATAGATTTGAATTCTGGTATACAATCTCTGTTTGTAACTCATCGTTAATTTTTATTACCATGTACCATTTGTTCCTCCAAGAAGAGTGATAGTGTTACTTCAGTTGAATTATATCTGATTCGAAAGATTTTGTTCAAGTGTTTGAATTTGAGAAACATATATCACTACCAGTGCAGCTAAGATTACTTGCTTGTTCTGAAATTCCGATATGTAGAAGCATTCCACCCACCAAGACAAGGATATGAGGAACAAGTTCAGGCTGCTTTAATAGTAAGTTGCTCAGCTTGAAAGATTATGCAAACCCTAGATTAATTTTTAACTTCATGTTAATAGGAAAGTTAACAATAATGCGAATGCAATGTTAATAGTGTTAAATGTGTCGACTGTTTCCATGCATTGACCAAGACTTCTAAAGCCTTCTGAGTACTAATCTTCTGCAACAACTAAACAGGCAGCATTGCATTTTACTCTTCTCCTCTACTACATAGGCAATCCCAAACCAAACCATTTCTTAATTTGAATTTTCTCCAAGCTATCGAAGTGCACCAATGGGTGATCCTATCCTTGGTCCTGTCATAGAAGTCACCATACCCAAGCTGATTTCAGCTGCTGCCGAGCAAATCAACCTTGCAGTCAGTTGGAAGCAGGAACTCATCATTCTCTAAAACAAACTAGTCTTGATTCAGGCTGTGTTGCAAGATGCTGGACAAAGGCAAGTTACAGACATGGCTGTGAAGCACTGGCTCCTCAGGCTCAGG